ATATACAATAATTTAGAGTGTCGCTATTGTCATAAGAAAGGTCACAATATCTCTGAATGTTATAAACTGAAAAATAAAGAAAAGCACAAAGAAAGAAAAAATGAGCACAAAAATACTGACACTGCCGAAGCTAGTGTAACAACTGATGAGATTGAGGGAACTATATTTTTAGCAAATGAAACTAGTTTCAGATTAGACAATGAATGGATTTTAGATTTCGGTTGTTCATATCATATACCAATTTGTTATGGATTTGAGTAATATAGATGCTGAAATTAAAAATGATGATCAAGCTGTGTTACTGCTTTATTCTCTACCCCCATCTTTTAAGCATATAAGAGATACTATGCTTTATGCAAAGGATAATATCTCTTATAAGGATATTAAATCTATCTTAAAATCAATAGAACAGATAGATAGTGATATTACTGGGGAAGCTAGTGGAACTCAAGCGGAAGTTGGCTTGTTTGTTAGGGGCAAATCCGACTCCAATTCCAGATACAATAATTTAGAGTATCGCTATTGTCATAAGAAAGGTCACAATATCTTTGAATGTTATAAACTGAAAAATAAAGGAAGAAAGGAAGAAACAAGAAATGAAGACTCAAGTCTTGTTGGTGTGTCTACAAATGAGGAGAAACTCCTCTATTTATAGCAAGAAATCCTTAGCCTAATAATGGATATTATGTCATGGCAAATGTCATGATCCACAAATTTGTTATAATGGATATTATGTCATGGCAAATGTCATGAACCACAAATTTGTTATAATGGATATTATGTCATGGAAAATGTCATGAAAATTTGGCCATATTACAATCTCTGATCTCTCCGATTGATAAAATTAAGGGGAAAACATCTTTGTTCATCACATTTGAATTTTATGTTCTACCTACTATAAAACAAGGAATTTGAATTTCAAATTAAGAATTGGTAAGTTAGTGCCTTGACAAAAATGCTAAGTTAGTACATTTTTAATTCTGGCAATTTGTGGTATATCTACTGCATAGATATTTTAATTAATGCCTAACAATTTAAAAAGAAAAAGTCTGAATTTAGAAAAGAAATGAAACCCAAATGCAAAAATCTCTACAATTTTGATGCTTTCTTATTTATTTATTTTCTTCTATTTGTGCATACATGACTTGACCTTATTTAATAGCTATACATGATGTAACTTCTTTAAGATTTCTAAACTTTATAGTTAAGGTAGCAAATATGAGTTAACGAATACACACCAACTTTAATAACGCTAACATGAATTAAGTCGAAAAGATAATACCAATTAAAAAAAAACTCAAACGCAAATTGCTAATCAGTCCCTGTTAATCACTTTATATTCTTAAACTTTCTCTACTAAGTTCTATCAATTTTAAAGTTTTCTTTTATGTTCTTCATTCTTTTTCTCTTTTCTCATTTTGTGGATACATTGCTAGAACTTATTTGAAAGCTAAATTACATGTGTGAACCTTTAAGAATTATATTTTTCACAATTAAGGTTGCAAATATGAATATGCAATACGCAAGTCAATTTCATTATATATCAAGTACCATTCAAATTAATGCACATGTTTTTAGTAAGTGGTCCCTAATTGTACGGTAGGGTTTGACTCATATAAAAGTTAATTACTCTTGTGAGTTTATAATCATGTTCTCATCAATTTCTAAATAACATCACAAATGCATCTCGACGTATAATTAGTTACGTACGAAGAACAAATATTAACTAATCAAGATAATAAGCACACTTTTAACTAACATTATAACCTAGACATATAAAGGAAAAAGGATAGTGGTCATTTCATACACAAAATTTAGTGCATATTTGTCACATCCTAGTACTAAGTAGGAGGAACCAAAATAAGTGGAGCCCTACCCCTCAAAAAGCCCAAAAGTGGGCAAGAGCGCATCTATCTGACCTGTATACTATGGGTCTCCTAAAAGTGCAAACCCCAATAAGTTGGATTATTAAATGAAACCCTCCTATAGTATTAAACTAAGTTGGAAAAATAATAATTCTACTACTATAGTAATTTGAAAGCAACGTATCCTTGTTACGCCACATGCCACATGAGAATTTAAGTGACCGTTGTATAGCTGGACTGTAAAAGTCATTTACATGCTTAATTGGATCCAACGGCCATTTTTTCACTAGCCGTTTCATTTGAATAAAAAGAGAGAGACTGTCTCAGTGTGTGTGTGTTTGTGTTTTATCAGACAAATACCCATTATTTTCTCACACCCTCATCTCTCCCCTTCCCCCTCTCCCTTTTCCTTTGATTTTCTTCTTCTTCTTCTTATACACTCTCTTCTTTATATTCAAGATTGATCTGGGTCTTTCTCTAAATGCTCTCAGGTTTCAATCTGGGAGCTTTTCCATTATAGTGTAATTAACTGAAGAAGAAAGTTTTCTTTTCTTTTTGTCTTTTTAAAAAAGACCCTTTATTTTCCATAAGTATAATCAAGAAAAAGAAATGGCCATATCTGATGAGAACAATCCTACAATGATTAAACCTACAAATGTGCAAGGTAACTATTTTGGGATAATCTAGCTCAAATTTGATTTTGTTTTGTTTTCTTTTTTGGGCGTCAAAATACTAGCTTTGATGAAAAAGTTTTCATTTTTAAAATGATAGGTGGGGCTGGAATGGGTACCAGAAAGTTTGGTGGAGTGGAAACAAGAAACAACAGAAGAGCATTGGGAGTGATTAATCAGAATTTAGTGGGTGGTGCTCATCCTTTTCCTTGTGTTGTTAACAAAAGAGGATTATCTGAGTAATTCCCCAGCTTCTATCTTTTAGATTTTCATAATCTTTGATCATCTTTTGAATTTGTTGTTTTTGTTTATCTTAGCTCATTTGGTGATTTTGTTTTTTTATAGAGCAAATGGAAGATGTGACAAGAATCTGCCTATTCCAGCTCATAGACCTATCACGAGGTTACACAATTAAAATTTTTTAACTTTTGTTCCTTTTTTTTGTTTGAATTTGAATTTGGTTTTCAGATCAAATAACTTATACGTGAATATAACCTTGAAAATGTAGGAAATTTGCAGCACAAATTGCTAGCTCTCATCAACATCGCTCCGAGGTACAAGCTTTCCTTATTATGAAATTATATTTTCTCTTTATTGATGTCTCAGATAGTTGATATTTTTTTTCATAAATAACTCTGGGACTAATAATTTCTTTGTTTTTTGGAACAGGAAAACAAGAAAGCTAAAATAGCATCAGAAGAATTCAGTATATGGGAGGATATCCCTCTCACAGATGTGGAGGAAAATGAAGCAGCTAAAGATCAACCTGTTCCTATGTCTTTGGAACTAACAGAAACAGTCCCAAATGACAACAAGAATCAAATGGTAAGAAAAATTTTGCTGTCCAAAAACTTTTATACTAGTATATATCATGCAACTATTTTAATGATATTATAGGAAATTAAACACACCATAAATGTTACAGGAAGTAGAAATGGAGGATATATTAGAGGAAAATATAATAGATATCGATGGCGATGATGCAAAGAACCCCCTTGCAGTTGTTGAATATGTACAAGATTTGTTTGCCTCCTATAGAAAAATGGAGGTGAGTTTAATTTGCTCAGTAATTACTTTACTAGTTAGCAGTTGCATAGATCCTAAACTTGTAAGGTCAACTGCTTAAACAAATGTTTATAGCTTTGCTGAGGAGAGTTTGAATTATGATACATTTTGAATGCCCACCAGTTGTTAAAAAAGATTAAAGAAAAAGTTCATAAGTTAGATCCGACATTTCACATCTTTTTCCACTGTTTATGTATATCACCTTTACTAGGATAGATTCTATACTTGCTTTTTTAAAGAGGAAATGCACCTGATTTCAAATGGTAACATCTATGTTTACTTGACATGTAAAAAATGCCAAAATTCAATTGGTTGTATCCCTTTTTAATTGTAGTTCTTGAACATACTGAAACAATATTTGGAAATGTGAAAAGGATAAAGACTTAAATGGAAGAGGAGGGCCGTTCTTCAACATAAAAAGGTCAGCTCTTTAAATACTAATTGGTAAATACAAAACTTTGGCATGCCTATGTGATCAAAAGAACGAGCATAGAACCATACTTGTGGTTCTCAAACTTGTTTTGAAGTTTCCACCTATGCAACTACAGCTAGTTCTACTAGTGACCCTTTTTTCTCGCTGGACTGAATCAGAACTCAGCTTTATGGTAGTGACTAAATTGTCCATTTGTTTTCAGGGTTGTAGCTGTGTTTCTCCGGACTATATGGCACAACAGTTTGACATCAACGAGAGAATGAGATCCATTCTAATCGACTGGCTCATTGAGGTATAGTAAAGACTTATGTTGCGTAATAAATTTGCTCAAAGTTATGGCGTTAATACTTTCTCATTCTGATCAACAGGTACATCACAAGTTCGAGCTCAGGGAAGAGACGTTGTTCCTGACTGTTAATTTGATAGATAGATTTTTGGAGAAGCAAGGTGTTGTCAGAAAGAAGCTGCAGCTTGTTGGGTTGGTTGCCATGCTATTAGCATGCAAATATGAGGAAGTTTCTGTTCCATTGGTGGAAGATTTGGTGTTTATTTCTGACAAAGCCTATTCAAGGAAGGAGATTCTTGAAATGGTATGCTTCTGGTCTCATCATAGCTGCACAGTTTGTTGTAGACCGCTTTAAGATGATGGTGAGACAAGAAATTAATAAGACTAATTTGGTAACCTCAAAAATAAAGTAATTAACCTGCTAAAATTAGTTTTAAGTATAAGTAAGATTCTTTATACAATGTATTAAGTTAAATTCTTTGCTCTACCTTTAATATTCCACTAAAGAGAATTTTTTTTCCATATATTGCAGGAAAGAATGATGCTTAACACACTGCAGTTTAACATGTCAGTTCCAACTGCATATGTTTTTATGAGAAGATATCTTAAGGCTGCTCAATCTGATAGGAAGGTTAGTCAGCTCAATCTTACTTTTGGCTCTTAACAGCTTGATTGTTATTGTTATTTTTCACTTTTAGAGACATAAAATTAATTCTCTAACTTCTTACTTTCTTGGCTCAAACAGCTTGAGCTGCTGTCTTTCTTCTTGGTTGAGCTTTGTCTAGTGGAATATGCAATGCTCAAGTTTCCACCATCATTCATAGCTGCTGCAGCAATCTATACAGCTCAGACCACACTCTACGGTGTCCAGCAGTGGAGTAAGACATGCGAGTGGCATACTAGTTACTCGGAAGATCAACTTATGTGAGTGTACTTTTGAACACTCTCTTTCCCACTTACTTCTCAAGCTTGCTCTTATTTAGTTACATTTTTGTTTCTTGTTCATTAGGGAGTGCTCGAGATCGATTGTGAGCTATCACCAGAAGGCAGCAACAGGAAAACTAACAGGGGTGCATAGGAAGTACAGTACATCTAAATTTGGTTATGCAGCAAAATGTGAGCCTGCCCATTTTCTTGTGCAGACACAACAACAATAGGAAAGGGGCATGTACAGTTATTACTAACTTTATGTGCAATTGGATTCCTAAAGATTTCTCATTGGTATAACGGATCGGGGGGTAATAGGAAAAATAACTTAGCAACTGTGGTTGCCCCGGGGAGATTGATTATTTCTATTATAGAGCTCATTGTTGTTGTTTACACTTTTCAATGTTCAAAATTTGAACATGGCTGGATTAAAGTTTCATTTACAAACAGTAATAAAAAGTCAAAAAACTTTTCATAATTTTCTTCCAATGGTTGTTGGTTGACTTTTTGAGTCGTTTACTTGCTTGCTGCTCTGTTAGTTGTTTCATCAGACATTGTTACTGTGAACGAGAATCTACTGTACCTTGAAATTTCATTGACCAACCAGGAATTTTTTTGTTTTAAGTTTGTGGGCCGTTAATATATATAAAGGTCCAATCAGTCACTTCTTCAGGTGATTTGCACAAATAAAAAAGCAAATTCAGTGCATACATTTAAACTTTGACCCTGTTAAGAAAGGCTTGAGAAAATAGCCTTCGGTCATAATTATAAAGCATGCAGGTCAGAATTTTGTGAAGCGCCAGAATTTTTCTTATAGTGATTGCCAAGATTTTGCCACTAACATAAAGATCAGCGCTAGGAAAACTCTAGCGCTTCCAAAAATTCTGATCAGCGAGTTTCGAAAATCCGGCCAGAGGCTATTTTTCCGAGACTTTTCTTAGCAGGGTCAAAATTTAAATCACTTAGCTCTTATTTGGCCATAGATTTTGCATCATTTTCTTAAAAACAAATTGAAAGAGAAAACAAAATTAAAAAAATTTCAAGTTCCCAATGAATTTTTTTCTTCCATTCACAAAACTTTAATTTTTCTTCAAATAAAATGTATGTACAAATACAACTTCAACTTTCAAAAATTATTTTTCAAACACAGCCTCAAAAATTCTTTTTTCAAGTTTCTATCAATTCTATGTCAACGTTAGCTTAAATTCGTGTTTTCAAATTGTCTAATAGAGGTTAGTGGTCTGGTTGTTAGGATCGAAAAACCGGGTAGTGCGAAATTTAACCAAACAACGTTATAATGATAATAACAAAGACAATGCAAGTTGATAATAACGGCAATTAAAGAAAATAAAGAAGACACAAATTTAGCGTGGTTCGGTCAAGGTGACCTACGTTCACAAGCGGAGAGAAGCAATTTCATTATACCAACAAGAGTACAAAATTAGGGTAAGAATTACCAAATACCCCAAGAGAATAACCTCACAAGATCACTCCAAAGAAAGGGTACACACAAGTGTTTCCGAACACTCACTATCTTACAAAATACTCTATAATGAAATAAAGGAGGAGAAAGAAAGACAAGAGTGAAAGGCTCTTGAATTGGTGTGTTTACAAATGAGGAGAAACTCCTTTATTTATAGCAGAAAATCCTTGGCCTAATAATGAATATTATGTCATGGCAAATGTCATGAACCACAAATTTGTTATAATGGATATTATATCATGGCAAATGTCATGAAAATTTGGTCATATTACAAATCGATTAGTCTATCGTTAAGATTTTATAGAGTTCAATCCCGAAAAAGAAGATTATCTTTACCATTGATTATAGAGTGGCGGATCTAGAGTGTTGTTATTGGGTTCCCGGGAACTCAGTAACTTTTGTATAAATATAGTATTTCTATTAAGAAATCCACTAAAGATTTATAAATATTTAATTGTGAATTCAGTTATTATTGTATATTAATTTAAAATTACAATAAATTTTAAATTCTGAATCCGCCCAGCGATACCCTCCGATTAGGAGAGTTCGTTTTTCCCTAGCGTCCTTACAAAACTACGAGAAAGTCGGAACCTCCAATTTAAGGTACCATTTGATTTGCATAAAGTATTAGTTAGGGACTCTGACGAAATTGAATGAATTTGATTCCCTATTTTATTCACATGGTACAAAATATGGTGCCGTTAAGATTCTTCTTTTCTTTATGTGAAATTTATCAAAATATTAATCAATCAAAATTGGGAACTCAGTAAGTGTCACCAATCAACAAATACCGTAACTTTTGGCATTTCGAAAACTTATTCTGAAAACATTTTTTAATAGATTCATAAAAGAATGGTTGAGATTATGAAATGGAACATAATTTTACTACAAGGTTTTCATCTTAATAGACCACTTCCTTTTTTTCCCCTTCCACGGACTAACAGAAAGGAAACGGCACAATGGATTTTGGTCGTTAAATGAGAAAATAAATTCTTGGACAGGACAAGTATTTTGGTTGAAAGATAAAAAGGAAAGGAGACCAATCGCCATAGAAACACTGGAGGAGTGACTACCAAAGGTTGTGGTGCAGTGAATGGAACTGCTCCTCCCTTAATTAGAGGTCTCGAGTTCGAGCCCCGAGTATAGAAAAGTCCTTGGTAGGGAGCGTTATCCCTCGAATGGTGATCTACCCGGGGCGAATCCGAATATAGTCGGCCTTCAATGCGGATACCGGACACCGGATGAGAAACCAAAAAAAAAATACTAGAGGAGTGGAGCAAAAGCATATGCCAATTGCCCAAATTGTTGCTACTCTTTCAGTTATTATAGCTTGTTTGGTCAAGTTTCTCCAAACCTAGAATCATATTTTTTCCAAAGAAAAGTATAGTATTTTTTTTTTCAAAGTTGAAGTGTTTGGTCAAGTTTTTGGAAGAAAAAAATAGTGTTTTTGAGGAGACGCAGAAACAATTTTTGAGAAGCAGAAAATGTAGCTTCTCTCAAAAAATACTTTTGAGATAAATACACTTAGAAGTAGTTTCTAAAAGTTTGGCCAAACATTAATTGATGCTCAGAAGTATTTTTCAAATTAATTAATCAAACACAAATTAATTCTCACAAAAAATAATACTTATAAAAATAAGCTGATTTTTAGCCAAATAGTCTATTAATCACCAACCTCACTAATACGACATCGAACTTAAGTCCTTCAGACTTTTTTTTTAAATACTTCACCAACCTTTGGGGCCCTGTGAAAGGCTATGCGCAGCTATACAAATTCAATTAAAACGGAGTGGCTAAACAATGAATCATTATTTAATTCGACTACAGGTTCCTCAAATCAAAACGAATTGAGTTAGCTTAGGCTAAAAAATTAGTTGTAACTCAACATGCTGAACTCAAAAACTATTTTTTCATTTGTTTTTTAGAAATAATAATAATAATAATAATAATAATAATAATAATAATAATAATAATAATAATAATAATAATAATAATAATAATAATAATATCTGTTTAAATAGCAAACCAAACTGAATTCATCGAATTCGTTTTCATTTTTTGACAAAGTTTTTTTTTTTTAAAATCAATTGAAGCTACATCCAAATTGATCCAACTTTTAAATGATTTTACTTAGTTGTGCCCGGATGAAGAAAAAAAAAACTTAATTGTACGCAACTCAATATATTCAACTTTAGATGGGTTAGACAAATTACATCATGTATGAGCTAAACTTGAAACCTTCAAATAAAGTAAAAGATGCGACTAGATTTATATTAGATCAGTAAAAAATTAAAAATATTACAAAAAAAAAAAAGTAAAGTTATATGAATTAGATCTAATTATTCCAAAAAGTACATAAAATTTATGTTACACTCATTTAAAATTTCAAATGAGCGGAGAGTATTCCACAAAATATGCGTGGTTAGATTTTCACTTTTCCATTTCCCTTCTCCGTTTTTCTGACCCCAATGTAATGAAATTTTTTAAAATAAAAAGTAGAACGAATCCCTAAATGAGAGTGAAAGTTTATTATGATCAATAAGATTTGTAAGTTAAGTTCTAGTATAATATGTGTGCGCTATATTCCTATGTCTTTGGGAAGATTCAAGCGACTATGAAATTATATGCCCTCGTGAGACATCTGCCGGCAGCTACACCATGATCCTCTACATGAGGCTGTCATCTTAAGACAATGGATGCGTAGAGGATGAGTATATAGCAAGGTATAGAGACAACACTATTGTAGCTACTTGTACCTTTTCATTGTGGTTAATTGTTTTCTTTTTTATTATTAATAAAATAACTACTAGGCATGTCTAGTAGTATAATTTGTCAAAAAAAAAAAAAAACAATCCCTAATCTACTTTATGTGAAAGAAATCTTTTCTCACTTTCCCTAGTATATATAAATACACACCAACTTTATCATTTTTCCTCTGCATCGCCCAACCCTCTCAACACCCAGAGCCAAAGGGAAAAGAAATAGGCAAACAACAATCTAATACCCATGGCTATGTCAGCTGCCACCTCCCAATCTTTCCTCCTCAACAACCCCACCACCCACCAGAACCACCCATCCCTCAAATCCACCACCCACCTCGCCACCTTCTCCACCACCCATTTCCACCCTACCACCACCCTCACCTCTACATACAAATCTGTATCTATAACCTGCTCAGCCGCCAGCTCAACCACAACCACCCCCCTCCAAACAGCTTCATCCTCCACCTCCTCAGATCGGGTCTTCAACTTTGCTGCGGGCCCCGCTACCCTCCCTGAAAACGTCCTCCAAAAAGCCCAAGCCGACCTCGTCAACTGGCGCGGCTGTGGCATGTCCGTCATGGAAATGAGCCACCGTGGCAAAGAATTCCTCTCCATTATTCAAAAAGCCGAATCAGATCTCAAAACCCTCCTTAATATCCCCGAAAACTACGCCGTTCTCTTTCTCCAAGGCGGCGCCACCACCCAATTCGCGGCCCTTCCCCTCAACCTCTGCTCACCGGACGACGCCGTGGATTACGTCGTCACCGGTTCGTGGGGTGACAAGGCATACAAAGAGGCAGTTAAATACTGCAAGCCTAACGTCATTTGGAGTGGCAAATCTGAAAAATACACCAAGATCCCGACTTTCGATTCTTTACAACAAACCCCAGACGCCAAGTATTTGCATATATGCGCCAATGAAACTATTCACGGAGTTGAATTCAAGGATTATCCTAAACCCAGTAATGAAAAGACCATCCTTGTTGCTGACATGTCATCCAATTTCTGCTCAAAGCCAGTTGATGTTAGCAAATTTGGTGTTATTTACGCTGGTGCCCAGAAGAATGTTGGTCCATCTGGGGTTACAATTGTTATAATAAGGAAAGATTTGATTGGAAATGCACAGGAAAGTACACCTGTGATGTTGGATTACAAGATCCATGCTGAGAACAATTCATTGTATAATACACCCCCTTGTTATGGGATTTACATGTGTGGGCTTGTATTTGAAGATCTGTTGGCACAAGGTGGATTGGTGGAAGTTGAGAAGAAGAATAAGAAAAAGGCTGAGATTTTATACAATGCTATTGATTCAAGCAATGGGTTTTTTAGGTGTCCAGTTGAGAAATCAGTGAGGTCATTGATGAATGTGCCATTTACATTGGCTAAACCAGAATTGGAGGCTGAGTTTGTGAAGGCAGCAGCTGTTGAGAAGATGGTGCAGCTGAAAGGGCATAGGTCTGTTGGAGGAATGAGAGCTTCAATATACAATGCTATGCCTTTGGCTGGTGTTGAAAAGTTGGTTGCTTTCATGAAGGATTTCCAAGCTAAGCATGCTTGATTAGTATTTTGTTGTGTTATATTTTTCTTTTTATGCTTTCATTATTTTCTTTTGGTGTCTTTATGTTCTGTTGGTTTATTTGGGTTTAAGAGGCAAAATGCAGCAACGTGAATGATACTTAAGCATATCTCGGTCCTATTGATTCTTGTGTACTTCTAGGAGTTCCTTAGAAATATGAAAACTATTATTAGTACTAGAAGCTTAATGAAAAAAAGATTATCTTTTGCTTTGTTTCTTTCATTGTTGAGCTGTTGGATCTCCATTTTATGAGGAAACTTTTGTACTATGGTTAAGTATAGCTGAAATCTTTTCAAGATTTGCAGGGGTTGTGTTTGTAGACTTGTAGGGGCAGAACAGTAGGACGAATTTATTCTGCTTAATATTGGACGTGCCATGTTATTTGTTAGTGTTACCGAATCGTGAGAGATCCGCACACCTTAGATTCCCCTGTTTTCAACTGTTGTTGACTTCTAACTTGTCGGTAGTGTAATGGTCCCATTGATTGCTGCTTTGGGACCTGCTACCAACCTCTGTGTAGGTATAGTTATTATCTAAAATTGGAGATTTAAGCAAACTTGGTTAAGTGGAATTGCTAATAACACCCACCAATAACAAGGGGTTGGTAGGAAAGGGGTTTATAGATGGGAGTGCTGATGAAAGGATGATTAGCCAAGAACCATGAATGGTATCTGAACAAAAATTGGATCAAGCATTTATCTGTACGTGAAATTTTTGAATAAACCAAGTCAAAAGAATATGAAATCACAAACAAAACGGCAAAGGATTACTGAAAAATGATGTGGGTTGAGTGGCCAAGGGATAGCAATTGTTCGTCATAAGAAAAAATCTAGGAAGTCACCCGAGTTGCATAGTTTTCTCGACACACTAAAATGGTAAGTTTCTATACTAATTCAAATTAGTAAAACTTATTTGGATAGAAATACTAAATCACGATGAACTACCTTTCTAATTATTTTAGTTAAGTACTATATTTAGAATTATTCTTGTTAATATTGTGTGTGAATTTACTATTAAATTTTTAGCTCAAACATTGATTCAGTAATTTACTTTAAAAATTTCATAACTCCATTGTTCGTCCTTAGAAAGTGTTAAAAAAGCAAAGTGGGTCTTCTTGATTTGGTGTTATTTGACTAAATTGGTGATTATGGATCGCTCTTGTCGGAATTTGAAGGTTTTGTTTCAAATTTGAGATCATTTCGAACAGATTCAGGGTGGTTTGGTCGAAATTAAAATGCAATTTCGAAAAATACTTTGTTGAACAACAAAATTAAACCAATCAGGTAGATGAATAATTTAATAGATAAGTCAATTGCATATAACACAAACTCATGCTAATCTTTTAGAGTTTGGTGAACAAATGAACAAGTACAAAATCATGCTTACTGGATAGAGTTTGTGAACAATCTAATAAATAGGCTGAATGCAGACAATACAAAGTCATGTTAATCAGGTAGAATTTGTTAATAATTAACAATATATATAAAGTAAATATAATATAAAATTTACCAATCCGATAGAAAAATATAAAAATTGCACGGGGCATCCTATTTGGTCGCCCCCATTTAACTTATACCCACTTTTTAAAAAAGTTTTAACTTGTACCCGCTTTTAAAACAACTTCAGGCCGCTTTCTCCTCCTCATCCTCCTCCTTCGTTTTCTTCTTCTTCTTCTTCTTCTTCTTCTTCTTCTTCAGGCGATAATGATTTTATATGGTGGTTGTGAACATATTTTAATGTAGTTTATGATGTTTTACAATGGTGAGCTGTTATGACGCTTTATTTTTTGTTATTGCTTAGGGTTTCTTTTTCTTCTTTTTCTAAATTGCAAAATGGGTTCATTAGATTTATTGTTGTTTTGATAAATTGATGATTGAGGTTTGTTCCTGATGATATTTGAAGGTTATGTTTCAAATTTGAGCTCATTTGGAGTAGATTTAGGTTTTAAATCGTAAATTGGATTGTTATAATTCGAAGAACAAATTTCTGTTTCTGGGCAATTTGCACTTCATGCCTATTTGGCCTTAAGTGCATAAAAACGTTGGTTGCACTTAAGACCTTTTGGCCTTAAGTGCATCTGAAGTGCAATTTTTCACTTCAGACTTATTGGCCTTAAGTGTAGCAAAACGTTTGTTGCACTTCAGACCTTTTGGCCTTAAGTGCATCTAAAGTGCAAATTTTCGCTTCAGAGCCTTAAGTGCATCTGAAGTGCAATTTTTCACTTCAGAGTCTTAAGTGCATCTGAAGTGCAATTTTTCACTTCAGACTTATTGGCCTTAAGTGCATAAAACCATTGGTTACACTTCAGACCTATTTGGCCTTAAGTGCACTTGAAGTGCAAATTTTCACTTCAGACCTATTTGGCCTTAAGTGCATCTGAAGTGCAATTTTTCACTTCAGACTTATTGGCCTTAAGTGTAGCAAAACGTTTGTTGCACTTCAGACCTTTTGGCCTTAAGTGCATCTAAAGTGCAAATTTTCGCTTCAGAGCCTTAAGTGCATCTGAAGTGCAATTTTTCACTTCAGAGTCTTAAGTGCATCTGAAGTGCAATTTTTCACTTCAGACTTATTGGCCTTAAGTGCATAAAACCATTGGTTACACTTCAGACCTATTTGGCCTTAAGTGCACTTGAAGTGCAAATTTTCACTTCAGACCTATTTGGCCTTAAGTGCATCTGAAGTGCAATTTTTCACTTCAGACTTATTGGCCTTAAGTGCATCTGAAGTGCAATTTTTCACTTCAGACTTATTAGCCTTAATTGTATGAAACTATTGGTTGCACTTCAAACCTATTTGGCCTTAAGTGCATTTAAAGTGCAATTTTTTCACTTCAGATTAATTTTTTTTAACTTCAGACCCAATAAGTCTGAAGTTGATCGTAAAGTGCGTACGCTTGCAAACTGTTTTGCAAAGTGGGTATAGGTTTAATTGTGACCTCAAAACCGGGTATAGATACAAAAGCCCTTAAAAAAATCCATGACAAATAGTAAGCGTGTGTAGGGTGGGGGTCATTTTCTAAATACATTAAAGACAAAGAATAATATTTAAAGACCAGCCCCTTTATAGGGCCATTCCGGTCAATCACCCATAGGATCCGTTTGGTCATTAAAAAAATTCACTTTCTTCTCGAATTTTTTTCACTTTTTTTCGGAACATGAAATTCCAATTCCAACTTGAAGTTGAATGTCGGAATTTTTCGGAATTTGAAAAGTTCCAAAAGCTATTTTTCACAATTTTCAATCCAAATCACTCACAAAAATTCAAAAACAACTTCAATTTGTATTCATGCCCAAACACAACACCAATTTCCGAATACCATTTTTAATTTTGAATTTCCTTTTTACTTTTTTCGGAATTTCACAATTCTTATGTTCAAACACCCACTTAATCTCTCCTGTCTGGTGCTTTGGAATAGAACTAGTGAATCTTAACCTATTTTCCTTCGTTCGGGTGGAAAAATAGGGGAAAAGAAGATAAGTAAAGATTCACCCTTCAAGATCCAATCATTTTCTATATCACCAACCCCAACTATGACTCAAGACACTGATGGAAACATAACAAGTGAAAACGTGCTATTGTTAATGCTTCATTCTTTAAGATATAGTCTACCGAGTCAAATACGTGGTTGTCAAGAATCCCTCTTGCTTTGCATCTTCCTCCTTATTATAGATATAATTTGAATACTAGACCACAACTCAAGATCAATTTGCTCGCCTTTTACCGACGAAATAAAGAATTTATGACGACCAAAGTTATGGAAACTGCCAAAGAGTAAGACTACTTATTTGCCAATTACAGCAATGGAAGCTAGATTGCGCCTGACCAAGTGGCATGTATACTGCTTGGCTAAACACATTGTATAACATGCGAATTTGACTAATCTTTTAATCTAGGCATAGACAACAGATTTAATACTGCAATGCATTTGAAACTTCCAACCAAGGGTGTACAAAGAAAATCGATAAATCGCACCAAACCGATAATCCGAGTCAAACCGGAAAAAAAAAATCCGATGTAGTTTGGTTTGATTTGGTTTGGTATTGAAAAATAAAACCCGACCATAATTGGTTTGGTTTGGTTTTAACTAAAAAAAGTCAAACCGTAAACAAACCGACGCGATAGTACATTTATATAATTTTAAAAAATATTTATACATATAAATATTTATTGTAATGTAATTTATAAATATTTCTTAAACTTTTTCACAGTTTTATCTTTTAACGTATTATTTCAAGTTTAGACTTAACATTCTTGAATGGTAAATAAATTTTATAGGCCATAAATATAGTAACTCAAACAAAGTTCAAATCAATACTAATGCTAACAAAATAAATTCAATTCAATACTAGAAATAACGATAGTGTTGGATAATTATTTTAGTTTTACATTGGTTTATAATAAAAATGCATAACATAGTTTATCTTTTTTTTTAGTGCTTAGTTATGTAATTAATATTAGTACTTATTAGCTATACTTATTTTAGCATGACCTATATAGTATTTTTAGATTATGTTAATTTTCATTATGGCTTATTAATTAGCAATAATTTGTTTTATGTAATTTTATTATTTTATTTTTGTTACTGAATATTTTAGTATAATGCTATGATTTATCTCATATTATTGTGTTAGTTTCTTCGAAAACACATTGTATAGTTGTATTTTACTAGGACTTAAGAAATATTTGGAGCACAAGTTACATATTTTATGTTATGAAGACTTTACCGGAAAAAACCCGAGAAAAACCGAGATTGAAAAACCCGACTTTGTTGGTTTGGTTTGGTTTATAAATTTAAAAACCTAACATCATTGATTTGGTTTGATAATTGAAAAATCCGAACCAATCCGACCTATGTGCATCCTTACTTCCAACTATAGATATTCAATGAAAATTTTCAATATCCATTGTTGTTTAACTGATATAAATATTGGGTGATCATTGTTTTTTTTCCTCTGTGATTTTAGCAAACGAGTTATACAAGCAATCGTATAATTTAAATGGATTTACAAGATGCATAGTCTAGCATACACATTTATTTTGACAATCAGCTAGAGAATCATTACAGTCATTGCACCAACAACCAGAGAATCACCACACCAGCAACTGCTTTTATGCACATTAAAGCTTCTCCTAATTACAATTATGACTACCCCTTACACAGCGCTTAAATGTGTGATAAGCAATTGGCTCCATAGCGGTAATCAAATAACCTCTGGCAATCA